TATTAAAGAACATAGTATCTATGAATGTCTAATGCAGACATTTCAAATGCTGTTCTCAGGTATGATAATCCATCTTAGCAATTGATTGCAGACCATCTCTTAGATATCTCTCCCCTCCTTTTTTTGGCTTTTTTAGCAGGCAGTTGCTCACCTATGTAACTTACTCTAGTCCAGGGGTATCAAACTGGCGGCCCGCGGGCTGGATGCATCATGCGCAGACCACGCCCACCCTGGCTCCGCAAAGGCAAAAAATGTCAGGATACATCACATGAAGCGATCGAGTTTGAACCTATGCTCTAGTCTCTTCCTTTGAGAGCCAAGATCTGATGTCATTCATTTGATTATTTAAACAGTATTGCTAGTTCTTTTCACTCTTCTAGTGTGAGCTGTTCACACTGAGTATTTTCCCAAGAGCTTTGTAATTTGAACGGAGACAGCTTGAAATAGAGACACTGTCCTTAGTGCTGATTTGAATTACAGTACTGTAGATTCAACCTGGTTTCTCCCCACCTTTTTAGTGCTAATCTTTATACATACTTAGATGTGATCAAAATTGAGGCTTATATGAAGGATAAAAACTTTTGTTTCCAAAGTCCTGCTTCTTTTCTTTATAAAATTTTATTTTTTTAACAGAATTCAATAGTAATCAACAAAAGTGTGTTGTCTGAGGATCTTATTCACTTAAATTCCTAATCCCTAAATCTTTTCTCTAACCATTGATAAAATAGGTCCCAAGTTTGAAAATATTCTGTTTCTTCTTTTTCTTTCAATCTTAAAGTAAGTCTGACCATTTCTGCACAGTCTAGTATTTTTTTGATTATTTCTTCTTCTGGTGGTATTTCTTCATTCTTCCAATATTGTGCAAATATAATTCTTGCCTCTGTTATCACATGTAGAATCAAATATGTACTTTGCTTATCAAGTTTTTCTGGCATTATACCTAGTAAAAAAATTCAGGTTTATAGTCTATTTCTCTAACATTTTTTCTAACCAAGTGTGGATTATTGTCCTGCTTCTTTAAAAGCTTAAAAGCTCTTAGAATCATGTGTGAATCTATTAAGCAATCCAAATATTGCATATTCAGTGATTTGTGTTTTTTCTTAACTATCATGGTAAATACTTAATAAAAAAATCCAATATGCAGATTGTTTTGGGTGTCTAGATTGGCATGTTGTCTTTCAAGTAGTGGACAGTATTCAAGAAAATCTCTTTCAGGATTAGGAGTAAATTCAGAAGAACAAAATTTTTTTAGACAAGAAGAGATGCTTTTCTGTATTTTTCGTAAGATAATAATTCCATTATTCCAAAAGTAAAAAAACATCATATATTAAATAAAAGTGTCAGGGATGATTCATCTTGATTTTACCTAGTTTGTGATTATTGGAAATGACTGGACATCAGATTCTTTGTCGTTCTTAATATTTTTATTTCCCTTTCATATAGATGTTTGCAAGTTCTTGTCACTTCAAACAGCAGAACACCCTCCTCTATTCTTTGCTTTACAATACACACTGGGACAGGGAGCTTTCTTTTCTTCTTCTCTCCCATTCTCTCTCTCTTTTTGCATTCCCCTCCTCTTGATCTATATGATACTGTAGCTGATCAGGTTTAAAACACTACAGTATTTAGGATCCCTGGAGTGCCATTTTATGTATTAGTACCAAGAACATGCCCCAGGCAAATAACCACCTGAATTTCTTTTAATTACACAATATAGCTGCATTTACTTCAGGTTCTTTTTTACTAAAGCTATAAGGCAATTGTAACCATGGATGATGGGATTAAGTGCCTCTTGAAGTGACTTTAGCTCCTTGTGTGAACAAAGGGAAAGAAGAGAACACTTAGCCCCTTTATGAGTAAGAAGCTTTTTTTTTTCCCCTCTACCAGGGTACAAAGGAAGTACAATTAACAAACATTATCCCCAGAAGTAAATTGAAATGTGCATGGGGACAAATGTATATGCAATTAGACATATATGATCTGGGCTATTTCAGCTATTCATTATTGCTAATGCTGTGAAAAACAACAGAATGATGTAAAATGTTACCTCAATAACTAGGATTGCAAGAACAATCCACATTATTTTGCAGCTGTATCCATGAATGAGGAAAAGTCCATTTGGATTTTTATTTTATTCATTCATTTGTAGAGCCAGTTGTATTTGTTCAAGCTCCAGTGTTTATAGAGAATGTCATTCTTTTCATGAGAGAGGATATTTAATTGGATTTTGTCATTTTAAAATCTTACCATCATGTTCTCTAAAATCTGTCAAGCAAGAGGGAGGGGTGGCACTAACGCCACATTATTCAAAATCAGCAAATCTGCTTAATTTGAACAATTGTTACAGGTTGGAGAAGTCATTCTGGAGAATATTTGGTATATTAGAATGCTGTCCTCGTTGACATTAATGTAGTCCTCATTGATGCAACTCTGATCACAGAATTGAACAACAGGAAGCAGCTCAAATAGTGGTTTGGAGTTCAAAAAGAAGACTTTCTGAGGACCTCCAAGACAACAGAGATGAATAGTGAGGAATATAAATGAGAAGAAACTATTCCCTATGACTTGGAAAGTAGATGCAGTTATGGTTCTTTTGCTTTATATCTAAAAGCCTGAAAACTTCAAGATGGCAGAAAAAAATTAAAAGCTATACGCAATTGTGGTTAGAGTTAGTCTCATATTTACAGGAAAAAAAATCCTTTACTGTATCCTGCAACTAGGGACCAGGTTACCTTAAACAGAATAAAATAACTATTTCAACCCAATTTAAATCCAATCTTTCAACCCAATTGTCTTCCTGACAAGCACATCTGCTTTGTACTGTTGTCTCTTCATGGGTAAGTGGGATCACCTTTAGAGAAGCCTACAGGCCTTGGAAAAGACCTGGCTATTTTAATGATATGAAGACAGGTGCTTTTGTTCAAGGACATACACATTTAAACAGCCAGAAGCAGTTTATGAAAAGGCTGTAAAAACCAAGAAAAAAAATCATGACTTTTAATTGATTGAAGAGAGGTGAATCTTGACCATCGTTCTTTTGAAAGATTTTCACCGCCTTAATCTGGAAATATTTGCTATCAAAATCATGTCCCACTTCAACTGTTCTCCCACTTGTATGACCAAAATATAGAGAGAATAATTATCCTGCAAGAAGAGTGGGAGGAAAGGGGGGGCAGTGTTTATTGCAGAAATGGACTGTAGGAAGAAGTTTAAGCAATTTCATGATCTACTTCTACTATAATCAAATTCATAGCCCCCAAAAGAATCCAATCCAGTAAACAAAAACAAATATAATTTTTTGAATAATATCCTTCTAATTAAACTCAACTCCTGGTGCCTTTATTAACATGTCCATGTACTTTTCTTGGGTATAATATTATAAAAAGGTTTGCTATTGTCTTCTTCTAGGATTGTTTTCAACTTCTGAATCTAGACTACAGTTCTTCTGTTTTCTGAGGTCACCTATACATGGACTAGCCCAGGGTAGGCAACCTTGGCTCTTTTATGACTCTGGACTTCATAGCTGGCTCAGGAATTCTGGGAGTTGAAGTCCACGAGTCATAAAAGAGCCAAGATTGCCTACCCCTGGACTAGCCCAACCCCATTTAGCCTTTCAAGAGCAGCCAAAATCAAACTACCGTAAAGAGTTGGCCTTTTAGTGAACTAAAGTCAGCTCTGCAAAAGTAGAGCCAGCAACCACAGCAAAGACTAAGGTACCAGCAAATAGGGAACCCCTCTGGATAAGGAAAAGATGGGAAATCACCCACATGTGCTCCAGGGCAATGGTTTTCTGAAAGTTTGAATGCTAGGAGAGGAAAAAATTAAAGGAAAATCAAATCCTACAACAATATTGGGTTAAATTGAAAATTAAGACTGTAATTTTTTTCAATGTTCTGGCAACCCTTTATGGATTTTTTGCTGACAACAGAATTGTAAATCTGATGTTTTATGGATTTGCTTATATATTATGGATGGGATATGGGATGAAGAGATATCTGTTGAACCTATAGGAGATGAAGGAGATGAAGACTGACTAAATTTATTCGTTTTTATTAAAATTATATTCCAAGATGATTTTTGAATAGTTTATGCTTATTGTAATGAAGGTTGAAAATCACATCTTTATATATTTTTTCTTTTTTTACCATATTCTCTCCTTTTCTTCTTTTTCTCTTTTCTTGTACTTTTTATTCTTTCCATTCTCTTCTCTTTTTTAACTTTACTTTGCATTAGGTTTTACTACTGCAGTTAAAATTCTTAATAAAAATTATATTTTAAGAAATAGGAACCTAGGGAGTGATAGCAGCTCTCTCCATAGAATTTTTCTTTCACCTTTAGGAATTAGCTCTGATCAACCTATTGTCCAAATTGCACATTATAATGTTCCAAGCCAGTGTTACCACAAATCTGTTCCAATTACATCAGACATTTTGGCTGTATATTGAAAAAGAGTAAACTATGAAGTAACTTGAAATCACTCAGCAGGAGGGACATCTGTTTTATAGCTTTAAAAAGAATTTGGGCAACTTCCCAGAGCAAAAGATATGTAGGTATTATGTCTAGTAGTGAGAAAAGGATGCTTTTGAAGGCATGGCCAAGAAGGAGTTCTCTGGTGGGAATTTCAGAGACACCTGGTTGACTATTGAGGGAATAAAACACTCAACTGATCAAGCCTTGGGTTTCCTTCTTGTAAGATCTTGCCAGCAATATGAAATGTTCTTTGAAAAGTGAAATTTTGATATTCAAATTTAAACTTTATTGTTAAATAAAACAAGTTCTCTGGCCATTTAAGAAGAAAAATATTACCTAATACTGACAGCCAACTAGCCTCTTGGTGCATTTTTTTAACCCCACCTTTTTATTTTTATTTTTATTCTCCTGTTAGTCCCTCCCACCCTGTTAATGTTTGCTTTCCAAAGGATTGTTTGCTCTGTTTTTATTCTGAATAATTGTTAGTCTTTATTATTATTATTAACTGCTTTGGGATTCTTTTTTTACAGGATCACTTCTCTTCTCCCTGTAGCTTTTCCCAGACTTCATTATCATGTGACACAACCTTGCAGCTACATACCCCGGAGAGCTGTTCTCTATGTGCCTGCAGATGATGTAAGAAAGATACAGAAGATTCCAACTCTCAACGTTGATTGTGCAGTGCTAGATTGTGAAGATGGTGTTGCTCTAAATAGAAAGGTAATTATCTGTTGAGTTTGACAAAATTAATATGTCACTGTGAGATATAATATGATGCAATAAAACCATGCATTGAAGCCAAGCTGGGATCACCATACTATGTACGTTTCTTCTGCCAATTTCTTCTGCAAACCAAGGATGAAAGTACCACAGCAAATCAGTATAAATTTCACAAAGCAACCAGATAGCAGAAAAATGAAGTACGTAACATCCCTCCTCTAAGAACCTCTTCTTCCTAGTATTCCTTGCAACTAGGACTCAATTATTGAATGAGTAACAATGTAAAATCAAATTACCACCCAAGGTAGTAGTATTTCTTGTCTCAGTGCATTCAGTGTGATCTGCAGTGGCAACAGATTCTTGCAGCTTGTGGGAAATTCCAAAACAAAACACTTATGTTCTTATTCCGACCAGAACATTAATATATAGTGAATTGAATACACGAGCACTTTCTATGAAATGTGTGTATCTCTGTGTTAAAATAGCCATAATACTAATATGATTGTAATTTTGAATACTTAGTGATTCAGATGCAAGGCAGTGGGGGATTTTTGGATTTTGTCCTCATATTAAATGAAAAGAGACTTTTTTTGCCAATTGCCAAGTACGGTAGCTCATTGTCAAGCTTTCTGCTTGCTTCCTTCTTCCAAAATGGCCTCAGCGGAGACTTCATTGTTTATGTTAGAAACCAAACCATTACATTTGTGAGAATGCTTGCTTTTTAGGACAATTTCTTCCTTTTGTTATAGTTGGATCCTTTAAAGAAGTAAAATCATACTTAGCAGGTCCTATGTAAGGCCACATAGCAAAAAATTACGTTAGTATCTTTACTATGGAATTTAGTGAATTGCTCCTTGGTTTTTTTGTGTGTGTGAATCTAGGAAGTTAAATATAGGCCCTGTGACATTATAGTCCTCAATCTGTTTACTCCTGTAAGCTATAAGCAAATAGTCCCCACAATTATAAACACAACTTTGAAATGGAGGTTATGATGACCTGGAACTCTGCAGACTGATGATGTTAAATGGCTGGAAGATAAATCAGTAACAGAGAACTATAAAATAATAGCTGTCAGTTCCTTTAGAATAGATTTCTTTATATGGAAAAGTTCCCAATCTGTAGATTATCAAGAAAGAGAGGTAAATGCCCTTTCAGAAACCTGGGCGACTGTATTGTATAACCTGTGGTCCTATGACCATTTAAAGTTTTGGGTATAACCCTCAAAGACCTAACTTTTAATTGTCCTTTATTTAATTCTAGTTTGTGTCATAGCCAACCTTTCTGACTCCACAGACCGGCAGCAGCAGCAGTGGCAGGGAGGAGGGGACGGCTTCATGCATGCCACCTAGTTCCTGCACATGCGCAAATGAAGCTTTGTTTGCTTGCCCACCGCTTGAGTGGACCGGTTCCCAACAGGCCAGGGACAGGTACCAGTCTGCAGCTCAGGAGTTGGGGATCCCTGTCTTAGCCCCATTTCTATAGTCCCAAGCATATCATTCCAAATGTGGCCTTCATCTCAAAAAAACCTGTTGTGCTCCCACAGTGGATAATACTAAGCTAGAGGAACCAATTGTCTGATCTGATGTACAGCAATTAAAGATGTTTCTTTTAGACTTGATGTCATGGGCACATTTCAGATGAATCCTCCCCCCCCTTTTTTTTTTTTAAAGAGAAACAAGAATTACACAATTACTGGTAGGTACTAACATGATTGAACATGATGTCTGTATATCCTGCAAGCAAACAGGTTTATTTCTCTATTGTGCAGCAACAATATATTGATATGAAATGTTCATTCTGGACAGCAGCCTTGCAGTTAGTTCTTATCTCCCAGAATAATCAGGTGTTTCTAAACCACCATTTTGCGTAACTTCATACCTCAAGGTCTTAGGTATGCCTATTAAATGTCTTAGATCCTTGCCAGTGAACAGTAATTATTAATTTCAGGCAAGATAAAAACTATTAAATGCATGCAAGGTAATCCTCCTGTCTGTATTTAATTAATTCCACATAATGCCAAATAATTCATCCTGTGGGGAGCTGCAAAACAAAACATGAGGGTGGTAAACTCCTGCCTTTATTCCCCCCATTATATTAATGTGGGGGATTTAATGGGATTCAAATTTGATTCAAGTGGAATGAAATTTAGTTTGGAGATAAGCATGGTCTCCAGAAGGTCATTCCAAGATGGCAGCCCTTACCCAGAAATGATGCGAGAGACATTGTCTTTTTGGGTCCAGGACCTACTCCACAATACTTGTGTACCAGCTTGCCCATTTTAGGTTTTCTTTGAAATTTGGGATCTGAAACAGCTCATGTCAATAGATGGAAGCCAATAATGATTATAGATAGAGCTACATTTCATGCTTCTTCAGATACAAGTTGCCCTGAGCAAATAGAAAATGGCAGATTTGTTCACAATTATCTGCAAACTGTTTTGTTGATATTTCTTTAATTAAAATCAGATTGGCCATTTTTGGAATTACTTATGTAATTTCATGAAGTATTGGAGGACATCCCTTCAGTACAGACATTTTCACATCTTGTGAAATGTCTTGAGTAAATCCTATGGTCAAAGCCTGTAATATGTTTTAAGCAGGGTCTCTGTTCCCAGTGTCTGTGTCATATAATGCTGTGTTTCTCAATCTTGGCCACTTGAAGATATATGGATTTCATTTCCTAAAAGGTGAAGTCCACATATCTTCAAGTGACCAAGATTGGGAACTTTGATATACAGTAGTACTTAGGAGCTGGCCCTGTTGGAGTATATGTATTTGCAAAGCCCAGTTCAGCTTTACAGCTTTAAAGGACCAGTAGCTAAAACTGTATTATAATAATAATATTAAAGTTGGAAGGGATCTTGGAGGTCATCTAGTCCAACCCCCTGCTCAGGCAGGAAACCCTATACCATCTTGATCTTGATTCTATCCCTCTGTTAATGCAGCCTAGCACTGTGTTGGCCTTTTTGGCAACTGCAGCACACTGCTGGCTCATATTTAAGTGATTGTCCATTGAGGACCACACGCTGAGTACAGCTGGTCAGCCAGCTACGGATCCATCTGGTAGTGATGCTGTCTAACACACATTTTTCTATCTTATCAAGTAGTAGATTGTGATCTACTTTATCAAATGCCTTACTGAAGTCCAAGTAAATTATATCCACAGCATTCAATTTCCTGAGTTAAATAGTTCTGCTTTCTCCCTGTTGCTTGTCACCTTCTTGCCACTTTCACCCACTAATGGACCAATCATTTCGTTCAATTTTCTTGTTTTTTACATGTTGAAAGAAACTTTTTTTGTTATTTTTGACTTTGGTCACAACCTTAGTTCATTTTGAGCCTTAGCTTTCCTCGCTTCATCTTTGCAGGCTCGGGCTATTTGCTGATATTCTGCCTTAGTTATGTGCCCCTTTCCACTTTCTATTTTTGTCCTTTTTATCTTTCAATTTATCAGAGAGTTCTTTATGCAGCCACGCTGGTTTCTTTTGAGAACTGTTATTTTTCTTCTTTATTGGTATTGTGCTAGACTGGGCTTTTATTATCTCACTTTTCAAAAATTCCCAAGCTTCTTGAGTTGTTTTCCCCTCGAGGATTCTCATCCATGAAATCCTTTCCAAGCCCTCTTTAAGTTTATTGAAATTAGCTCTCTTAAAGTCCAAGACTCTAGTTTGACTGTGTTCTATTGCTTGTGCTTCCCTAATGTTGAATTCCAATATTACACAATCACTTCCTCCCAAGGTTCCTGTGGCTTCAACACCTTCTATCATTTCATCTCTGTTAGTGAGAATTAGATCCAAAGTGGCTAATCCCCTAGTTCCCTTGTCTACTTTTTGGGAGACAAAGTTGTCTGCTAGGTTTGCAAGGAATCTGTCTGATCTTCCACTTGGTGCAGAGTTTGTCTTCCAGTTGATGTCAGGGTAGTTAAAGTCCCCCATTACTATTGTGATGTGCTTCCTACATACCTTAGTTAGCTGACTAGCAAAAAGTTCATCTATTTCCTCTGTTTGGTTGCGTGGCCTGTGGTATACACCTATGGCAATGTCATTTCCCCCCCTTTTATATTGACCCAAATGAATTCAAGACAGTTTTCATCATTGTTGTGCTCTATTTCTGTGTTGGGCTTTGCAAATCTTTGGCAAATCTTATCAAAATCATTTTCTTGTGTTATCCGATGATTTATCACAAAGCCAAACGGTTGTTTTTTATCAATGTATCAGTTATTTTTCTTAGCTTATTGTGAGAATTTCAGCAAGGAGAGAGAATGAAGAGGTTTTACAAGATTTCTGTTTTATTTGTTTTCTCTTTATTGTAATATCTAAGGAAAATATAATTCATGATTAATCATATGTATGTCCATGGTCGAATCTCAGTTCTTCAAATGATACAGAACACTGCAAAGAAAGTACTATGGTAAGGCATCTTACCATTATTCAAAGATTTTGTAGCCTAGGGAAAATTATTCAGTTAGATTTGACAGATCCAAGCATCAATCTGTTAAAGTAGAAACAAAGTGATCTGTACCATCTCTGCAGGGCATCTCTTATCCCAGAAGACAGCTGAAGTATACAGGTTTTCATAAAGACTGGTATTTCTACTGCATTATTATCTATGTGTGGTTATAGACATCCTCTTCTGAATGGCAATGCTAACAATAAATGTGACAATTTATGGAGTTTCCAAGGTCAGAAATTTATTCTTAATTAATTCCAGAATAATCTACTTAATTCTAGGGTGTTTTTTTAAGGGAAGAAGTAAGGTTACAGATTCTCTCCCCCCCCCCCCCAATATAACCTTCTTAGAATGATTGAAAATTTGTTGATGGGGATTCAGTCAAAAAGACTACTTGGAATGTCATGAATAAAATGCTTAAGTATATTTAACAAGCCATTCTTGTGGACAACTAGCTCTTTAAATGCATTCTTCTGTTATTGTGCATTAGAGCCAGGTTAGACTTTTTATTGAAACAAAAGCATAGAAAGCTCATGATGTTACAAGCTTAAA